TGGAATTCAGATGGAAAAGCCACAGGAGATGACCCAGCCTGGGGGGGCAGGGCAGTGTCACCCCCCAGCCTTTCCTTTTGCTCATTCCCTAAAAAGCAGGACTCCCCCAAGGACATTTCCCAGTGAGAGCAGTCCTGGCCCTCACAGAGAAGAGAAATTCATTGGGACACATTTCTCCTGCAGCTTTGTGCAGGAAAGCACAAAGGGTGAAACCCAAGGAGTTCAGCCAGAACTCCAAGGTGGAATTTTACAGCCAGGTCCAAGGGGAGGTGACCCAGGCACCCACCCCACTGTCACCCACCCACCCTCACAGCAGCACACAGGAGCATCTCAGCCCTTGCTTGGTGCCACCAGGACAAAGAGTCTGGACTATGCAAACTCCAGCCTACCCAAAGTGACATCCCTGTCACCCTGATGGAGACAGGAGCTCTGCTTTTTATTCACTGAGAGCCCGGGTGGGCCCCAAATCACGCTGGCATTATGTTACGATAATGCTGGAAGTATTATAAATGCTCTGTGTGCCAGACAAATCCTGGAGCAGGCTTCCAAATCCCCTCCAAATCCCCTCTTGCGTCTCTACATTCATCCATTCATGAAATCCAGAGCAGAGCCTCAGCATCCATCCCCTTCTGCTCTTTCCAGCTGAATGGAAGGTGAGGCAGGCTTGGGGTATTTCTCCTGGAATAGCCTTTTTTTTTTTTTTTTTCCTGCCTTTCAGGTGCCAAATCTGCAGAAGAACCTGCAGGGCATTTAGGAATGATGTCCAGCAAGGCAACAGAGACAAATCCCATGGCTCTTTCTCCTGTCACAGAGTGAAGTGTGTCTCATTCTCCTGCTCCCTGCAGGGCCATAGGAGCAGGGAGATCCCCTCAGCAGAGCTGGCTGTCTTTATTCTTTTTCCAAACAACAGCGAGAGTTTATTTGGTCTATTTTAGGGGAATTCCTTTAGATTAGATGAGCTTCACACCGGAAATTCCTATTTTTCTTTACAGCTGAACCTGCCTGAGGCGACACCCCAATCTTCAGAACACTGAAGCAAAGGGTTCCCCCCCTTTTGGGGGTGAGCAGACTTCTCCCTCTGAGCCACAGCTTTCAATTCCCTCTCCACTGCTCTTCAAGAACAGCACAAAAATCCCTATACAAAAGCTTAGCTCTTGTCCTGGCTTTAGGAAAACAGCTCAGATCCAGGCAGGAGGGGGATCTCGAGCATTTCCTATTTATTCTGCTGTCACAGCCAGGCATATCGTGTTGTGCTGCCCATGGCTCACAGGGAGAGCAGAGCTGGAGGGATTTCAGAGGCACCACTGCAGATGGGAAATTGCTTCAAGGCTCTGTGGTACCCGGGCAGGGCAGGAACAGAGTGAGAACAACTGCACAGGGCTGTGCAGGGGGAAGGAACTCACTCCCAGCAGGGAAAAAATGGACGTGGAATTGTGCTCCAAGGTGTTTGACTGCCCAGGACTGTGCAGAGGGAAGGAACTCACTTCCAGGATGGGGAAAAAAATATGTGTGCTCCAAGGTGTTTTCTTGCCCAGGAATCATTTTCTGAGCCTGTGAACAACATCCTTTGGGAAGTATCACTTGGCACAACAAAAAAACCCATAGAGGGAGAGGAATAAGGGTAGGAGGGGGGTTAAACTGGCTACATTTTTGGGACAGAGCACTGGGAGAGCAGGATCTGCTCCCCAGCACTGTGAATTCTTTGCCCATTCTCTCATTCCCTGGGGATGTGGAGTTCCCATTCCAACTGGAGCAGGATGTATTCTGTAGTGACCAGCACACTGTGCTGCTGACAGCACTTGGGGGTGGTCCTTGTGTCTTCATCAGGAGATGGAGATTAATTAATTAATTAATTAATTATGAGCCCCACCCCATGATCTCTGCTCAGCAAATCCCTCCTCAGCTCCTGGAGGTGAATCCAGCCCTGATCTCAACTTGCCAACCCAACCACAAAAAGTCAAGGAGTGCAGGAGGAAAAGGGAGAGTCCATCCTCACCCTCCAGCCCTTGTGCTTGGCACTTCTCCTGCCACCACAGCAGCAAAACACGGGCAGGTGACTGATCCAGGATCTCCACAGGCAAAACATGAACACACATCACAGAGGCAAAGGACCCACAAAGCAGCCACTGCAGAGGCACCTTCCAAGGACACTGATTCCAGAAGCTTTGCCTTGAAGCTACACCAAATGCTCCTCCAGCTAAACACAACTTCCAGCTGCAGCCCACTCAACTTTTCAAGGCAGGAAACGAAGGCCTGCAGGAAAAGTGGAGGGTGAGGAGGGCATGGCCACAGAGGAAGATGCTGACCAAGGCTTGCTGCATCCCCAGAAGTCAGGGATCTTGCTGAAAAGCAGTCCTGGAATCCAGGAAGCCTCTGGCACTGCTCATCCCTGCCAGAGAAAATGCACAGAAATGCAAGAAAGGACCACGTCCTGTTCTCCTCTGGATTCAGATCTGTCCACTGGGTTTTGTTGGAGGAACTAAAAACTGCTTTTTTACACAACTTTTTTTTTTTTTTTGAGCCAGTAGAAATAGAACAAGGGCAAGAGAGAGCAAAATCATCTCAAAAGGCAAGGCTGCAAAAACCACTGAAAAATGAAATGCAACATTTTCCCCGGTGTCCCTTTTAAGACAGTTCTTGTCTTTTCCCAAAGCTTCTGCTGGAAAGGGGGCTGGAAGAGGCTGAAAGGGCAGATGCCCTGTTTTGGGTTCAGAAATCATCATTTTGGCAGGGAACAGCCAGCTTTGGCCAAGGGGAGAGCGTGTGCTCACACTTTGGTCCTGGAAGGTTTCTTGGTGAGCTTAGGCCAGATCTCCCAGAGGATGCCAGGAGGATGCAGCAGGGCTGAGGATGCTGAAACCCAACCAGCCCTGCACTCTGGAGGCACTCACAGCTCTCCTTGCCTCAGGATGTGCACAGCTGCAGAGAAACCCAAGAAAGATGCACGACAACCAGGCAGGGAAGAGGAAATCCAGCATCCCTGAGCTTGGCTGGGCTCTGGAGGACAAAGGCACAGACTGGCTGGCCCTGGTGGCACTGTGCCACAGATCGAGGCACTTTGTGTTCACTGTCCACTCTGAGCCACCCTGATGGGTCAGGAAACTTTGGGAAGCTCTCCCCCTCTCCTCTTGTGGACACTTGCACATAAGGGAGACCCTTATGGAGGCTTTTCTGTCCCAGAGAATCAAACCCTGAGACTTGTGTGCCCTGTTCTGCACCCTGCTGGGTCAGCCAGCTCCCACTGAAGCTGTCAGGGCAGTGCTGGGAATCCCACAGCATTTCCCTAGGAATGCCTGTGGAAAGGTGCAGGAAGGGATTTGTAATCCAGCTGGAGTGGGAATGTACTCAGAGCCAACATCACTGATTGCATGCTTCTTCCTCTGCCTTCCCCACACCCATAAATATTCAAACAGGAAAAATAAAATTATTGATCAGCTGCCTTCCCATTAGAGCAACACTCACTGTCCTGCTGGCTTTGGCCATTTCCAAAGCCACTACCACAGAATTAACCCTCCTGGGAGAAATATTCTTCCTAATTGTTGAATTCCTTCACCAGAACATCTACATTCTTCAAGGCTGGCACAGAAACCAGAGTTTGAGTTTCCCACACAAAGAAGATGTTTTCCCCATCTTTTCCCCAGTGCCTCCATTTTCCTTTCCACACCCTTTCAGTCCCAATTGTGCCAGGTAAGCCAGGAAATCGCAGCCCTTGTAACCTTCCAGCCAAATCTTGGTGAATCCATTCACTGAGGTGGGTGTTCAACAATCCAAGTGTGTGCAGACCAGTGCAAGAGACTCCAGAGTCTCTGCCAATCCCTCACATTGGGCCACAAACTCCCTAAATGTTCCTGCAGGCTCTTACAGTGACTGATGGCACTCCAGGGCTCAGGATGTGTTGGCACCAGTGGGGACTTCTGGGACACATCATTATTTCACTAATCAAAGCAAATGCTTCCTAGCCCCATGCCAAGAGGCATCAAGAAGCCCCTGAAGGCAAGGGGAGCAGGGGGATGTGGCAGACAGCACGGAGCAAATGGATGTTGCAGCAGCAAGATCCTGCCCAAGGTAGTGAGGGATGGCCAGGTAAGGGTTCTGCTCACTGGGAATAACTGGGAAGGGGCTCCACAGCTGTAAACATCAGGCTCTCCTCGGGGCTTTCCCAAACATCTGGGTTAAAACACCTCTCAGCACTGTTTGAAGTTGTGCTTTCTGCTCTGAATGAGAGAAATTCGGAGTTTCACGGTCAGAGACCCAGGAACTGAGTCAGAGAGAGGCCCAGCAGGGAGAGGAAAGCATCATTTGTGGGCAGCTTCATTGATCAGCGCTGACTTTCTCCCTCACAATCACTGTTTTTCATGCCCTCCCACTCCCACTCTATAACAAACACAGAGATCCCTCTTCAGATGGCAAAGCCTTGCTCAGCCATCTCCTGTTCCCCCAAAAGACAAGCACTTGGGAAGCTTTTCCCTTTAAGCAGCCTCAAAGTTGGCTCTCAGCACTGCTGGCACGAATGAAAGCGATTTCAGTTCCCCCTCCTCCTGAATCCCATCCCTGCCTGGTGCGAGGAAAAGGCAGAGGATGACCAAGGGGAGAGGGGGTCGCCTCTCACCTCCCTCCCCGAATTCTGCACGGATGCACGGAAGGATGCAGGGCCACCGAGGTCCCCGAGAGCCCGAGGGGAGCCCCGGGGCAGGTGCAGGGCTGGGAGGGCGATGCTGGAGCTCCTGGAGGAGCATCTCCCCTAAGCCAGGCATCGTTCCCCAGGGAAAGCAGCTCGGTGTCCTCAGGCAAAAGGGGGGGCAAAGTGATCTCCAGCTCTGCAGCCCCCAGGACCAGCTCTGCGTCCTTTAAATGCGCTGGGAGGGGTAGGAAAAGCAGCTCGGAGTGTCTCCTGCTTCCTGCCATTCCCTGCCCGCTGCATGCACGCATCCACACACCCTGTGCATAAAGGATCCGTGTCCTGCTCGGCTCACCATGCAGCGAGAGGAGGCAAGAGTTACCTGATCGCCACAGCCGGAGCCGCCTTCTCTCTCCATCGTGGCCGGGAAGCTGCTCCCATTCATGCTTTAATCCCCGGGAACAGAGGCACGATTCAAAGCGGCTCTTCACCCATCCAGCAACCTCCGCCTCCTTCTCTCCTCCCTTTTCTCCGCGTTTGTTGCGTGCGGCTTTGTGGTGTTTTTGTTGTCTTTTTTATTATTATTATTATTATTATTTTAATGCTTTCTTTCTTAATCCAGGCAGCAACCACGACGCTGCTTCATCGCATCCCTGCCTGTGCTTCACTCGCCAAGGAACAGCCCCGGAGAGCTCCTGGCTCCTGCTGTGCCTCCCGAGCCCCGGCTCGCAGCTCTGCCTTCTGCAGCGTGGCGTTGGGAAAGAAAGACAGGGAGAGAGGGAGGGAGCGAGCAAACAGGGAGGAGGAGGAGGAGGAGGAGGAAGAGGAGGAGGAGGAGGCCAGCGGGATGCAGGAGGAAGGAGCCAGAGCGTGGCTGCTTTGTATCCAGAGCAGCGCCGACAGCCTCTCCCTGCCGGAGGAGGACCCGCGCTGCTGATGGTCTGTACCAATTCATCCCGCTCCGGCAGGGGCACCGCTCCCTGCCACGGGAGCAGGAAAAGCCAGGGAACGCTCCCGGATGGCCCCTGGAGCAACTGGGTCCTGCTCTCCTCGCTCTCGTCACCCACCGCGGGCACGGGGAGTCCACGGGGATGGGGATGGGATAATGGGATAGGATGGGGATGGGGATGGGATAATGGGATAGGATGGGGATGGAGATTGGGATGGAGATTGGGATGGGATAATGGGATAGG